CACTGGCTTTTGGGAACTGCTGGTCTGACAAGAAACGACACAACTCTTGGAAAGGAAGTATGATGTGCAACAACAAAGGGGAAGAAAAGTACTAGGATTTGCTGGTTGGTTAGATGGGCAGATCAAGGGGAAAAGAATAGAAGCTAACAGGGGAGGCAATCCACCTAAAAGATCGCTGGAAAGCTCTATTTGGCAACCCAGCGTTGGCATGGAAACCCCCGGCTGGCTGAAAGTCACTACATGAATAAATTTTCCTCTTGCCTATGGCCTCACTGACTGAATCAGTGGAAACACATTCACGCTGACTCAGCGCAGAGACTGGCCCCTTTCGGGGCGGAGCAGTGAGAGCCGAGCGAGGCGGCCAAGCATCTTGCTCTCACTCCCTGCGGGAAAGCCAAACTGTCATCAGAAAGCTGCTGAGGAGGAGTGGGGTCAAAGCAAAGACGACGGCGTGATCCACATGATGAGGGAGCGCGGGGTGCAATAACCGGGTGCGTTCTTCTCAGCAAGTGACTATTTGAGGGCGTAAAGAGCAGGCTGATGGCATGGCCGGTATGTGCTCCAGTGACTCCACCATGCTTGTGGTCCACCAAGGGCACACCGAGGCACGGCTTCCTTAGCTAAGTGAGCGTCCGCGAGCAGCCGAGGCTCCCCTAGTTTACCCAGGAGACACTGTGCTGCTTAAGGCAGCTTTGTGCATCTATCGTTTGAGCGATGATGGCTTTCACACTTTGGCACTCCGCACTAACCCTTTTTCCCTAATTCTGTACTTTTGGTCCCTGACCCACCCTCACTGCTGCCGCATGCAGTTTTCCCATCTTTGGACAGCAATCGGTCTTGCTTTAGATGGTAGACCAGAGCTGATATTTTAACAAAGAATTATATGTTCTGTTTTCTCGACAGCATTACTTACTCTCATGATCAGGAGAGACCTGGTTAACCACGAGCGTATGAAGCCTTTATGCTCAGATCCTGAGGCCGCGAGACCCGTGTTGCTCTTTCCCTGCTAAGCCCTTCCTCCCAAAGCAGGCAAGCAGCAGTAACTGAAGGCAAAGAATCCAGTCGGCAAATGGTGGCCAACATGCTAACCATATTTTAGCTTTATAGTTACTTTGGTCATGGTGCAGGGTATTTATGAGAGCCAGAAGAAGAGCAAAGCATTTTTATCATGCTTGGTGTAGATAACAGAAGTAAATCCAAACTGTAGCATTTGGGTGACCCTTCCCGGGAAGGGCAGGAGAGGAGTCGGATATGAGCTCTCCAAATGCATATGTGACGTTTGCTCGAACAGGAGCAGCTCCTTACCACAGGGGAAAGAATGGGCAGGTGGGGAATGCAGGGGTCTGCTTTCAATAGGAGCAGACAGGATGTATCTTCTCTGACCCCTTTCTACTCTGCTATTTATGTCAGCCTTCTGCATGACTGTGCTTAGATTCTTATTTAAATCCAATTAAATCTGGGGCTTGAGTAAACACACATGTATATTATCCAGAAGATAGCATTAAAGGATTTTGCATGTGGGCCAGCCAAAGCAGCTGTGTCTTTTCTAATATTTAAGATAGGGTGGTTTTTTTTTTCAGTATCTTTGGTGGGGGGGGAGAATAAGGAAAAAAAAATCACCGTAAGTATCAGTGGTTTTAATTTCAGAAAAAATCATTTCACTGGTCTTTCCCCCTTTGGGTCCATGCCAGACTGATGGTCTGAACTTTCTCACTGGGTCCCCTTTCCTTCCACTGTCTCCCCACTGCCAAGAAAATGAAGTGCAGCCCCCAGGAGGACCTCACATTCCCTCTACAGCGGGGGCTCCTTTATGTCCTGCTGCTGCTCACAGGGCCTCTTCCATCAAGTCTAACTCTTGCACCCCCGGCTTGGAGTCACTGCACACCAGCACATTTTCCTCCACCTCAGCCTTACCTAAAAGTGAGAATGACGCAGCTTGTGAACAAAATCACCGCACCGTATGGTTTTAGTATTTTGCTAGGGGTCAGACAGACCGTAAGTAAATTATTTAACCTTTCTGTGCCTCAGTTTCCCCTATCTAGAGCCAGGATCACAGATTCAATCTCGGCAGGTGATTGTGTTGGTTAAAGAAATTTCCACATGCAGAGCACCTGAAGCAAAGCTTAAGGCATAGACTGTACTTAATATCTTAGTTCCTGCCAATCCTACAAGATTCATCCTACGCAGTATAGGCCAGTGGTGGCAAACATATGTGTGCCTGCTTTTGGTTTCTCTTTCTTCTTCTTCTTCTTCTTCTTCTTCTTCTTCTTCTTCTTCTTCTTCTTCTTCTTCTTCTTCTTCTTCTTCTTCTTCTTCTTCTTTTTAT